TTTGAAAACATAGAAAATTCATGGAATAAACTTCTTTTCTTGTGCAAAAATGGGTGAGTGAGTGTAGAATCCACATCTTGGTAAGAGAAGTGGTAACCTCCTTGATATAAGAAAATGAAGGGTTTATTTTTAAGTTGTTGTTAGATGCATGAAAAATATTTAATTGTGAAATGGTGATTGTTGTGCATTATGAACTGCAAGAATTATGGATGGTGGAGGTTAGTATTTAAAAACCTCACATGTGGCTTCAAAAACATTAAATTGATAAGAGATTGATGTTGTGTGTTGAAAACACGTGGTTATCTTGAGAAAGAGGTAAAGGAAAATGTTATTGTTGGCATTGTTGTAGAGACTTTGAACATGGGAAATGTTATGAGTTATGGAAAATCATTGCATTGCATATTCATTCAATTACTATTTATGCATGGTAAATTTTGATGGAAGATATTTATTTCATGAAAGAAAATAACGTTGTGTTATGAATTATGGAAATGTGTATGGGGTAAATATGGTGGTAAGTCCGGTTAGGCGGTATAGATGAATTTGATAAGTTGGCCTGAGTGTCCATGGTGAAAGACTAGAAAACCATGCGGATAGGTGTCGAGCCTTCCGATTAATAACGGTAAAAATGACAGTTTGGTAGTACTCGCAGAGTCTACTTGCAGACACCAGCCTAGGGATTACCAATGTTGTATTTACCACCCCTCTGTTGATTAAAATTGGAAGTTTTGAAATGTGTTGAGATTGCAAGCATTTATTGAAAAATGAAAATCTTTAAGAAAAGCATGTAATGAATTTTTGCTAAAGGAGCATGAAATGAAATTTCTTTAAAAGAGCACGGTATGGCATTGACATTGTATTTTTATTGAGAATTGCATAACTGTATGTACTTTGTTAGAATTCTCTGCTGGGCTTTATGCTCACCCCTATGGGACTTTGGTGCAGGTAAAGACGAGGTGATCCCGCCAAGTTGAGGGTGCGGATAATTTTAAAGAGTATTTAGCTCTTATTTTGTTGTGATCTTTTGTGAGCCAAGGGCTAATGTGTTTAGGTCTGAGAGACCATTTTGTGTAACCAGGCTATTGGCTTGGAAGATGTAAGCCCATAAGGGCATTTATTTGTTTTGAGATTTAGATGTTTCATGTGCTATAAATTCATGTGTTCTTTTAATTTGTTTGAATGTATATCGTAAGTGGAACTTTTGTAATTTAATTCATTTATTATGTATGAGATGATGGAAGGAGTATTGTTATATATTAGTCAATGTTCATTAGTGTGGTAGTTCATGTTGAATTATTTTGGGGCGTTACAAGTCACCTCTTGGGTCCATACATACATGAATTGAGCCCAAGGCCGTTTTGATAAATGTTGGGCTCGATGCCGTTCTGATATATTCCCAAGGCCGTTCTGTTATATGTTGGGCCCGAGGCCGTTCTGTATTTTGTTGAGCCCAAGGCCGTTTTATGGACCCGAGGTTGTTCTGTAAATGTGATTTCATAAAAGTATAGATTTATATTAGTATGCTTACTATGATGTTGGGCTCATTCATTTAAATGTCTTTACTGTATTATTACTCATTGAGCTTCGCTTACTCTGTATTTTATATGTATGTAAATGATCAATCTGGAGACCAATATTAGGTTAGCCTTAGGAGTTCTTTGGTGTACCTGTTATGCCAAGACTCCAAGATGCGCCTTTGTGTCGGGGCTTTAACTTTGTATTGCGAGACTTGTGTATTTTATTGAGTCTCATGTATATGTGTGTGAGATATATAAGATTTGTATATGGATATAAATTACTAGTATGCCTAAATGTTTTAATTATTATAGTTATCATGTATGCACAAGTTCAATGAACATTATTATTTGTTTTGCTTCCGCTTTAGGCCCCAGTATGATTTAAATATTTTGAAATTTTGTTTTGAGGCCGAAGGTAATCTAGGGTTACTGGCTGGTCATGATCCAAACTTTTAGAGGCGGGTTTGGGTCGTGACAGTTTGAGTTTGGATGGAAAATGAATGAGAAATGGTGGGTAGAGAGAGGTATATATAATGGGTATTGCTGACAAAGAGAGTTGGGATAAAAATCTTGAAAGGCGGCGGAAAGTGGTTGCCCTTTGAAAGGTAATGGAAGGTGGTTGGCCCTTCTTCCTCTCCTCCGTTGTTCGACTGGGCCATTTCCTGTTCATGACGTGAGAGTTGGGTGCAACTATTTAGAGAGAAAGTGACATATAGATACATAGTTTTCCAAAACAAAGAGGAGAACAAAAGAGAGGAACAAGAGAGAGAAACGACAGAGAAAGAAGAATGAAGAAGAATAATAATATTTTTAGTAAATTTGAAAGTCAATGAGGGGTAATTTAGTCTTAAAAATTCACTTACTCTCATTCTAAATACGTGAGCCTCACATTCCTTAGATGAAAAAACTGACAGTGCGCTTTGGTCCAAAAACCACATGAGAGTTATGTAGTTATTTCCAAACGTCAAGGAGGTTAACTATACCCAACCCAAATTACAGGGGGTAAAGTGAAATATGCCCCATTTTTTTTTTTTTCTAAATTATCTTCTCATTTCAAAATTTTATAAAATATGTCTAGAAAATAATATAATATTTTTTTTCCAAATACCACTATTATACTTAGAGTTTTACATTTCTTATCATTTTTTAAAAAAATTATTCTTTAAAGTATTTATTTTTCGTTCAAATATAATAATATAGTAAATTGAGATACGCAATCATGTGGATGGTTTGATCAATTATATTAACTTAATATTATCCAATAAAAAAATATATGCTATTATTATTGTTTTTATTTTTGGATAATGAAAAAAAATAGAACTAATTATTTTATATAAACCATCCATCATTTATAATTTAACTATTTTAGAAAGTAAAACTTTGTTGGGTGTTTAATATTAAAACTTCGAATAATTTTTTCTCATAATTTTGATATTGAAAATCTTATAATTGTGACCCATATTTTTATCTATTAGTAGCTTTTTAATTGACTTTTTTCACCTTTAATGAATTTTTTTAATTTTTAAAATATTTTAAACGTTTAGGTTATACTCGACTAGAAAAATCTAAAAAGAAAAAAATGAAAAAAATTATGTTGAAGACCAAAAAAAAATAGTTGGATTTTTATACTTTTTTTAGTGATTTTTTTTTTCATTTTTTTGATTTTTTTTACTTTTAAATTCTTCTACACTACACAAACTAGAAAAATAAAATATTATTAAAAATGATTATTAGTGAAATATCTCTCTTCAACTTTGTGTTATAGGAGAGGCCTAAGATATTTTTTTTATTAGTTAAGGTCCCCCAACATTTTCACAAAGAAAATTCAACCAAGGGAAATTTTGCCCAACTCAAAGAAATTTCGGCCCCGACTTGGAGAAATTTTAATTTTTACAGAGAAATTTTAAAATTTTTCTGATATGATCATAGAGAAAATTGAAAATTTCTCTGTGAAAATTGAAATTTCTTTGAGTCGGATAAAATTGTTGAGAGACCTTAATTATTATAAAAATATTGTATGTCATTTATCTTATAAAATCTTAATATCATGGATCTTAAAAAAATTTCCCTTAAAATAATGTGACATTTTTTTAATTGGATATCAAAGACTAAGGTCTGTTTTGGGAAGTTGATATTTTAGAAAGAAAAAAAAAAAGGTCAAAAAAATGACTACAAAAAGTCATTTTCTCTATAATTTTCTACATTTTTTTTCATAAAAAGTTAAAAAATACTAAAAAAATCACATTCTCAAAAGTTTATTTCAAATTTTCATTAAAATTTGCATCTTAAAATATTGTTTTAAAAAATAAAATTATGTTAAATGAGACAATCATTTCTTCAATGTAAAAATAAATTTTACAAAAACTTAAATTTTTTAATTTTAGAAGAAAGAATAATAATTAAGAATATTGATAATTCATTAGGGATGTTTGGTTCTAGGGGTGTAAAATGTTCCGCTAGCTCGAAACCCGCTCAAGACCCAACTAGGCTTGGCCCAAATAGGCTCAAGGTCTTGCCTAGTCTGACCTCCCTAGGCCAGGGCCTCGGTTATGCTTTTTTTTATCTGGCCTGCCAAACGTTATTTTAAAGTTATTTTGGTAAAAAAAATAAATAATAAATAAATAAACTGTCAGGCCCAGCTCTAGCCCAAGCTTGAGACTTGAATTTCCTTGAAGCTTGGCCCTGGACTGAGATTTTGCACAAGTGGTCCGGCTCGATTTTTGACCGGAGCCCACGAGACTCAAGGGTGCTCAAGGCCAGGCTAAAATTACATTCCTATTTGATTCTAAGAGGTGATTATAACTTATTTTAATTTAGAAGTCTGTACCAGACTATTTGGTGCAACTTCTTCTTATGGCTTATTAGGTTGAAATAGTTTAAATAAACTGAAAAAAATTGATTATTTAAAAATTAAGAAACAAACAATTTTAACCAATTTTTTTTTAAAAGTTTCGTACAAGTTCAATGCAAGGGTAATATATTATTAACAATAAAAATTAGAATACTTGGGTTGTGACAATTTTTACTCAAGCTCTGACATGAATTTAATTCGAGTTAGTAAATTTTTTCTTCAGTCTTGACCAAATTTAAAATAGTCTTTAAGGTCATACAATTTTATGGACATAAATTACTTAAAGCCTCTAAAATTTTACAAAATTAAATTACTTAAGTTGGGCTAACCCAAGTTGTACGTCGGCTAGGTCATAGGGTAAAGTAGATTGGGCTTTAAATTTTATGATCTAAAAATTCATGCAATGTTAACAAATATCTTCATCATATATCTTAAACTTCAAAAATAAAAATAAATTTATAATCTACAAATTTATAAAATATTAATATATATCATTATCATATACATTTAACCATGCATAGCACAGGTCAAATGCTAGTGTGCGTATATATGTATGAAAAATGATTTTTAATCGATTTGAACAATTGTCCATTAGTAAGAAACTAAGGACCATATAGATGATTGTATAAAGATGAAATAGAAAAAATGATTATCGTTTAATTTAAGGATTAAAGGTGAATTTAACTCTTTTGCACAATACAATTCTTCTAACAACCCATTTTCATGGACACAGATAAACTAATTGACCAATTCTTCTCTTTCCCAAACCTCCCTTTTGAGCAGAATTTCAGAAACCTTTCCAAGAAGCAAGAACTTCATGGAAGATCTCAGCAACAAGTTCCCTGTCAGTACATTGCATAAATGAATCGAAATCATCTCGAATGTCAAATATCTTACCAAATTTCACTAGATACCGCATGCAATTCGCCTTCAATTTAGGCAATCGATACAGAGAAGCATTTTGAAGCCTCTCAAGCACATTCTCCGTGTCAATATCTTGAAGAAGGCTCTCGTGGCACGCCTCTTTCAAGTCCGCAATGTCATACTTGTCAGCTGCTTGCAGAAGGCCTAGCCTGTGGCTCAGAAACTCTTCTTGTTGTATGTTCCCATAAATGTAGTTGAGAAAAGCTTGACAAGCCTCAATGGACATATCAGAGATGTTTACAGTTGATAGTTCCTTTTCTTTGAGGTTGTGTGAGAACATACTGCGAAAAACAGGTGATTGAGCAGCAAGAACTGCGCGATGGGCTCCAATGCTTCCGTCTGAAGTGTTGATTACAATGTCTGTGTGAATACCTTCTGATAACATTTTGCCAAGGGCAGAGAGGGCTGTTGCATTCGATTGCTTTTGCGCAGATGATTCAGCCCAGATTGAGCAAGGTTCTCCACCCTGCATGTTTTGTGAAATTTCATATTTGACAGACAACATAAACATGATACTGTCTATGATACTCTTTTTTTTTGGTAAACTATCTATGACATTCTTTACAACTATTCCAGATTGTGATTAGCATTACTACTGTTTCCTTAGTGAATTGACTCTTTCCATCGTGATTCTCTAATCCAACTAGCACTCTTTGTTTTGACAGAAAACATTAGCTTATGAAACATTTTCCTTCGTTTGGTCACAATCTTGAAACTGACGTGTTAGTGGTAATATTAGTGGTGGTGTTGATGTTAGAAGTAGTATCAGTAGTGGTAGGATTGTGGCAACGACGATGGTGGTGGTGGTAGGACAGTGATGATGGTGGTGGTTGTGGTATGATGGTGGCGATGGCGGTGGCCAGGGTGGTGGTGGAGGTGAAGGTAGTGCTAGTAATACTTTTTAATCCGGAAAGCTTTTTTTCATCTTTCAAAAGTGAAAGTTTCTGCCCAAATAAATTTGTTTTTCATTAATCAAGTAAAATATGTTATGTCGTTTTTTGTCATACCAAACGCTAAGAAATGCAAAAAAAAACAAAAGGTAAGTTATTTTTAAGACTTTCCATTCATATTCGAGCAGTCTATTTATAAAAGAAAAAAAAAAGAGGGGGAAATTAAGGGTAAGCAAGCATACAGCATCTGGAGGTGCAATCTTCAAATCAAGAAATTCAACATCAATTATGAATTTCCCTGTCAATGGAACCTCAATAGCCCAAACAAAATCATCATTGTTCTTGAGCTGCTTGTCTGTAATTTCTGCAATTCCACAAAATAATAAAAAAGAACAACAATCTTAATTACTATATGCACTCAAGTAAATGGAAAATCAACAATATCAATTCTAATTGTAATTTTAGTACCTGGGTGAATCAAAGCCTTCCGATCTCCCACGGAGCAGATCACTCGAATGATAAAAGATGCAATTGGAGGGTTGTCTCTTGTTAAATTCGATACTTCAGGATACAGTTTGATGAACAACATTCGATTCTTCTCCACAGTTAAATGCCTTCAATTCAAGCAACAAAATATGAAAAACTTCACCAAATAGAGGAATATTACTTTAAAAAACACGAGAAAATTTTTTTTTCACCAGAAAGTAGGAAAAAAGGGCTAAGTTTCTAGTTATTATTCTATTTGGCTGCCGAGAGAATTCAACATAATTGAATAAATTAGAATGGTAATCTCTGAATTTTCATCATAAAAAGACTACTTGGATTTTGGGTTGTTTTAGTTTTAGATTTCCATTGATCACAAAACTCAATTAACGTATGGTTCAAGAGTCTATGTTCTGTTCTTTTCCTTTGTTGTTTCGGCAACCAAACGAAAACATAAAAGACAGCATGCCAAACAAAGGATAACTACAGCAAATCAAACCAAAAACAAAAATCATAAAAACCCAGAAAGAAGGAAAAAAGGGATACATAAAGGGTATGGCTTCTGTCCAGTCCGGGATCGGACTGGACCGTGCTGTTGGGCCTGTGGGGGCCCACCACAGGTCCCGTTTTGATAATCTGAACCGTTCAATGTGTAGAACTCGTTGAGTACTATATGTTTATGAAAAATCACATTAATCGGATATCGATAGCTATATGATCAAATCAGTTTCGTATTAAAAAAATTGGACAGTGAACAAATTAACGGTTGATAAAAAACTGTTTTGATCACATAGCTATTGATATCCGATCAAAGTGGTTTTTTATAAGCATATAGTACTCGACGATTTCTACACATTAAACGGTTTAGATTATCAAAACGGGACCCGTGGTGGGCCCTCATGGGCCCAACAGCATGGTCCAGACAGAAGCCATACCCAAATAAATTCCCAATTAATATTCTGTTTGTTTGCCCAGAGAATTCAACAGAATTGAAGAAATTAAATTGGTATTTTCTGAATTTTCATCACAAGGAGCCATAGAGAACTTAAAAATGAGATTTTGGGTTGTTTTAGCTTTCCATTGATCACAAAACGCAATTAACATATGATTCAAGATTCTATGTTCTTTTCCTTTGTTTTCTCAGTAACCAAACAAAAAAGAGACAAATTCCACAGGACTAAAAATAATAATAATAAAAAAAATCAATTATAGTAAAGTTCACTCACCAATTCCATTGATCAAAGAACCCACTTAACATACGATTCAAGATTATACGTTATCTTCGTTTCCTCTGTTTTCTCAGAAACCAAACAAAACAGAGGCAAAATCCATAGGACTAAACATAAATTCAATTATTGGAAAGTACACTCACCAATTCCATTGGGGAAAAAAAAAAATTACCCAAAAAATTCCATTGATCAAAAAACCAAATTAACTTACGATTCGAGATTATTATACATTCTGTTCATTACCTCTGTTTTCTCAGAAACCAAACAAAACAGAGGCAAAATCCACAGGACACACTGATCAAAAATTCAATTTTAGAAAAAATTCACTCACCAATTCCACTTGCCGATCTTGAAAGGATCGGATTTACGGTAAGTACAAGAAGCCAAATTTTCGATCCGCCATTGGGCGAGTCGAGCCGTGGTGTCGACACGGTAAACAGAGTCGCCGCTCATCCTCGCGAAGGCCAGTGCGGCTGCGATTTCATGGATGCACTCCAATAACCCCCCTCCAATGCCCACCTTCCCCAGGTTTCCTCCTCTCTCTCTCCTCCTCTTCCTCCCTCATACACACACACACACACACATATATATACGTGTGTGTATAGGCTGTCTCTGTTTCTGCACTGACAGTGTTGAAGAAGAAGAAGAAAGATTGTTTAGACAGCTGATGTGTGAAATAGTGAAGAGATTTCAATTTTGAGATTGGTCTACGCCATTGATGGTGAAGTTTGGAGAGGAGTGATGAGTTTTAGAGAGAGAAACAGCGTGGGCAGAGAGAGAGAGAGAGAGGGAGAGAGAGAAAGACAGAGAATGGGGACGAGTTAATATGCAGATTTGTTGATAGTGGTGGTGGGGGTTATTTGCGTCTTTTCACAATTGATTTTTATAAAAATGTAGGGAGCCGCTATTTGCACACACCATTTACCCTCTTTACACATACTTAATGAATTTTTTTTTATTACATTTCAATCCTAAAATGAAACTACCAAAATAACCTTCATCTTCTCCCCCAACCCGTCTCTTTCAGTCCAAAAACCTAACTCTAACCCTAACCATCAGTCACCACCATCCTCCATGGCCGCCGCCTCTTTTTTCCTCCATCACCGCCGTTACCTCTTCCTCCACCACTGCAACTCCCTTTCATCTGCGAACCCATTGCCTTCCCGCTTCTCTTCCCCACCACGTCGGGCATCGTGGAATCACCTTATTTTCTTACCATTCGAATTACCAGTGTCGAAGGAATCGCCTCCGTTCGGAAATCAACCATCGAACCAATGAATTTAGTTTGACTATCACCATCCGAACAAAACACATTGGTTCGACCATCAACATCCGAACCCCCTTTCGTCTGCGAGTCGTCGTCACCTTCCTTTTCACGACTGAGAGGAGAGAGAGAGAGGGGGGTCGCGGTACGTCGCCGGTGCTGCGTCGCCGCCGGCAAGGTAGTTGCTGTCTAGGGTTAGGGTTAGGGTTAGGATTAGGATTTGGGTTTGATCGTTGTTTGGGGGTGGAAGAAGGTGTGTGGATTGGGAGTGTGTGTATTGTGTGTTGAGTAATTTATTTATTTATTTATTTATTTTTTGGGCGTGTGAATTAAAAAAGATGTGTAAAAAGAGGAAGGGATGTGTGTAAATAGAACCACCCAAAAATGTAGTATATGTGTTTGTGTGTATGTGTACATATTTGTGTAGGCTAGGAAAGGAACATTAATTTTTTTTAATTTCTTTTTTTTTTGGTGCATTGAAGTAAAGTATCGGTTCCTTGGAAAATCGCTAGACACTAGGAAATCACTAACTTGTGAGTCCCTATTTGCTACTTTTTATATTTATAAAAAAATTTAAAATGTGAGAACATAAATATTATACAAAAAAATGTATTTTTTTCCCTTCAAACTATTGCGACGGGTGCCGGCAACCTCTCCAATCACCATTATTGGCGACGACCTTTGATAAATCCCCTCTACTTCTAGTCACCTACTTTGATCATCACCTCTATTTGACCATCGACAACAATCTTCAACTATCACTCCTAGTTATTACTGTTAGTGATCCCTTTGATCACTTCTAAGCAATTGTTGTTAATGACTCTTTCGGTCACTATTATTTGCGACCATCATCGATGAGTCTGCATTAACCACCTCTTCCGGCCATCACTTCTGTCAATATCTTTCCAGTCACTTTCTTTAATGCTGTGTCTGGTTGAGGGATTTGATGAGGGAAATGAAAAACGTAAGTAAAATGTGAATAAAATATATCTATATTTCACCTAGTTTCACACATTTTTTCCCTTTCCTTTCCAAATCCCTCCTTAAATTTCCAAACCAAATACAACATAAGTCTCTTTAAGTTTAGCAAGCTTTGTTATTATTATTATTATTATTTTCAGGAGAATGTTATAACTAGTAGGTGTCCATTGTGCTATGGAGGCACCATATTAGACATGCTAATCTTTTATTTTGTTTTATTTATTTTGTTGAATGAAATTTCAGTAACCAACTCTTCGACCTACCAGAGGGATTTTTTTTTTTTTAAAAAAAAAAAAAAAACTACGTACTCTTTGAATTATTTTCATAAAATCACTACTTGTAAAGCAAAAGGAAAAAAACATAATGTCAATTTAGAGCAGTTGCATACTATGCATAGCCATTATTGGCTTGAGTACTTTAAGGAAGAAAGTTTGGGCACAAGGGATATTTGTCTATAATCGGTTTTTGATTCTTAAAATAAAAAAAAATAAAAAAAATTGAAATACGACTGTTATAGAAGTGGAATCTCTAATTGTAGCAACAACAAAAAAAAAAATGAAAAATAAATTTAAGTTGTTTGGATCTTAAATTTAAAAATAAAAAGAAAAACTTGAAAAAAAATATAAAGCAAATTTTGTTATATTTTTTTACCCTAATCTAAAATTTTGTCAAGTTTGAGTGATAGTAAAATGGGCCAATAGGGTCATTTGGTTGGATCACTGTTTTTGCTAAATAAGTTAAAACCGCACGTCAAAGCCTTAAACATGTCATATATATGTTGGCCACCTGGCAAACATTTGTGACGTGTATATATATAATTATTAAAAAGAAAACATCACCACGTTTGCTGTGATTCAAGTATTTAAAAACTTTATACTATCTATTTAAAAGGTAAAATATGATTTACTTGAATTTAATCTCTCCAGTTAAATTAAATATTTAGTTCAATTTTTATAGGAGAGCCAATGAATTTTCTAATGAGATCCATTCGCCCTTTCACAATAATTAGACTAAATGTCCAATTTTATTTTCGAGAAGCATATCCCATGTTGAAAAAAAGTAAATCAGCAAAATTATTATCAACAAGGAGGTAATTTGGTCAAAATTAGAAGGAAAAGGACTTCTAAACCTCTTGCTTTTAGAAAAATAAAATATTTTTTTATCAAATTATAAAATAAAATGAAAGATAGGGTTATGCCGCCTTTTTTGGATTAAACTTTACCCTGAAAGATAGAGGAGATGGGTAAGAACTTTATGGTTTATCACTTAACAAATTGATATAGCCACTAAAGTATAAAAATGAACATAAAAGAAGAAAGAACCAAGAAAGTTTGTATCATGAAAAGAGGGCGAGAAAGTTACTTGTTGCGGGGGCATGAAGGTTTGGAATCTTTGATTAATTTATTTATTTTGTTTGATTGGGGAGTATAAATATACACACATACAATTGGAGAAGAAAAGTATCTATATATGTGGGGGCATATCAATCTCACTTCCAATGTTGCAAGCAATCCCTACTTCAAACAAATGGGTAGAGTATTTTTGTGAGGAAAAACGATGATTATGTCCCACATATCATAATCCAATCATGAACATAAATCAAATACATTAGGATATAAATACAAGTATTGTGTTGGAAAGCCCAACTAGAGAGGGGTGACCACTAGAATTAGACCTTAAGGAAGTTGAAACCCCAAAGGTCGCCTTGGGTTGTGCACTATAAGTACGACCACTAATCCATGAGCTGTAGGTAGTTCATTCGCATGTAGGTAAGGATTCGAATCCACAATCCTAACAGTGGGTACAGTAGATTCGTTCTACCAACCTTGTGTGCTAGCACAACAAGTGAAATTTTATACATCCTGGCAACTTTGTTGTCTTGCTAACCCATAATTGCAGTCTTTTATTTGGTTTCAATTACAATAAGCATACAAGGATATCAACAATGTGTGTGTGAGACAGAGAGAGTAAAGCTTACCAGGTGGTGTACTTGTATGTGGACATGGTAGAATCATATAGCAAGAGGAATCAAGAAAGATTTTGATCCAGGGACCAGGATCCATCGTCTTGAAGAATGAAAGAATGGATGACATCAATGTGCTCTACCATCTCACGGTCGTCACTACCCTTTTGAAGTCCACCGATGAACTCCGTGGGCATACTGTACAGAAGAAGCTCTTTGAGGCGAGTGAGATTATGGATGCCTAATGGAAGCATCTTCAACTGCCCACAACTACGTAGAGTCAGTTTTTGAAGCACAGACATTGATCCTTCCTCTACTACCACTGTATGCAAGTGATCAAATTGTTCAATGTGTAACATCTTTAGTTTCTTGAACCCTCCAGCTTTGAACACCAACTCTTCACCAGTGAAAGCATCATCCATTTGGAGCTCCATCAGATTCGGCAAACTGTGAAGGGCCACAAGTGGGTTGCTCGTCAATCCTGACCACTTGAGACGGATCCTAAACAGGTTAGTAAGTGAGGAAATCCATTTTGGGAACTCAGGTAGGTGACCTTTGAGATATAGATGTTGAAGATGAGGGCAAGGGCAAGCATGACTACGCATATCGAGAGGTTCCTGTTTGCCAGTTGAACTAACATCAAGAGTTGAAAGATTTTCCATCCTTTGAATGGATGCACACAAATCCTTTCCATCTTCTCTTTTGAGGTCTATCAGCCCCAGCTTCCTGAGCTGAGTTAAATCACCCAACTCTTTAATAATTTTGTGGTTCTTGTCCGACTTGACAAGTGACAACGTCTGTAAGTTAGTTAAACCCCCAATTCCTTCAACCATCTCCACTCCTTCATCAGGGTTCAACCATACATGATTCTTGCCCCTGTCGCGACAAAGCAAAAGATGGCGCAGATTATGAAGTTGGTTGATCTTCTTTGGCAACTGACTGACACCTGTTTGCTTAAGGTCTAAGGTTTCAAGGTACAAAAGCTTTTTAATAGATTTTGGAATGTTTTCAATTTGAGTACGCCTAAAACTAAGGTACCTTAGAAGGGTGAGACGAACAATAACTTCAGGAAATCTATTTAGAGGGGCATCACGAAAATCTAAAACCCTTAACAAGTTGAAAGAAGGAAGACCAAGCATGTCTGTAATTACAGAGGGGTCAGAAAGCTTGTCCATCTTGAAAAAGAATGTGGAACGAACAGAACTGGAACGAACAGAACTGGAAAGAACAGAATTGGAACGGAATACTGTGCTGATCTGTGTGATGCAGCTAGGGTTATGGATAGAAAGGCGTCGGAATTTCTCACTTAAACGTGTATCTGCTGTCTTTGCAAGAACTGAGACAAGGTTCTCCTCCTCGGACTTCTGAATGATGAACTCAAGGACAAAGTTTAGAACTCGACAATCTTTCACTCGTCCATCAAAATTCCATGTTGCATGAACCAAATTACTTCCAACAAGTTCATTGAGGTAATCCTCTGCAACCTCTTCCAGTGTTTTGCCTCTTGTTTCCTCCACAAATCCTTCGGCTATCCACAAGCGAACCAATCTTCCACGCTCAATGGAGTGATCCTCAGGAAATACGCTGAAGTACAAGAAACAGCTCTGAAGATTCCACGGTAGATCCTTGTAGCTTGCCAATAGCTTGTTGATAATTGAAAGACTGGAACTAGTTCCAACCTCGGAAACAAGGCTGTCATGCATTCTTTTCCACACTGTTGGATTTTGTTGTTTCTTTAACAGCAGAGTACCCACTGCCACAATTGCATGAGGATTCCCTTCACATCTTTTCATAATTTTTTTAGACCAATCCTCTAACTCCGGAGGACATTTGTTGGCTTGGAAAGCCTTTTTACAGAAGAGTTTCCAAGCCTCTGGACCTGATAAACAGGTTAAATTATGGGTATGGTGCTCATCTGAGCAAAAGGAGGCCACATCTAACTTTCGAGTTGTGACAACTATTCTGCTTCCACTGGATTTATTAGGTAATGCATCCCGAATATTTTCCCAATGTTTTATACTCCAAATATCATCTAGAAAAACAACAAACCTTTTTTGCTGCAGATAATTCCACAATTTGGCCGGTGTAACTGCTGCACTTTCATGATCGGGTATTGGTTCCTTCGTTGATGAACAAAATTGTTTTAACATGCTTTGTAAGATGTGCTCAATTTTTGGAGAATGGGACACACGAACCCAAGCATAGCAATCAAACAGTTCATGACTTCTAATGATGCCGTAAACATTCTTTGCTAGAAGGGATTTGCCTGAGCCACAAGGGCCAACCACGGAGATGATCATGGTCTTTTGCCTCGGTTCTGTGCCTCTCAACTGACAAATAAGCTCTTCTCTAGGCTTTTCAAAGCCTACTATTTCATCTTCAATATGATCACAATGCTCCACCCACGGCCTGGAATTGGGGCCTTCACAGAGACTGCTTCCACCTCCGTCACCACCACCACCACCAAGTTGATCTGAAGCTGTAATACCCACAATCCTTTCCTTAATGCCTTCCATCTTGGAGGACATGGTGTTATGTAAAGGAATCCAGTGTGCCAAATTGTGAAAAAATTCATGGGTTTTCTTGGTGATTCTATGCCTATGATATCGATATGTCACATGAAGCATAATCTCATCAAGAACATTCTCGGTGTCGTAAGCTATATCCCGAACTTGTTTCATTCTTTCTTTGAGCACCCAACTGTGTCCTTCTCTACCTTCCATGTCCCTAAGGTAGGCTTGCATCGTTCCCAAACTGTTTGTTACCTCTTCTACTTGATCGCGCAAAGTTTTCTGAAAGGGAACTCGGTCAAGAGAGGAAAGAACCGTTTGAACCAAAGACAGTGCTACTGTAACAGCTATTCCCTCCATGCCTGCTAGCCCAGCCAGCTCCTCCTTCCTCTACGTTGTCCTCAAGGAAGAAAGATTAAGCCTTACTGTTCTGTTTTTTCTCAACCGTAATCAGATTTAACCAGTAGGAAAATTACAATGGAAAAAAAATGAAGAAAAAGAAGAGCATGGAATGGAAAGACAGCTAGCGTATCAGTGAGTTAACACGATGATGAATAGAAGAAATTATGTTTTAAAAAGAATGGAAGAAAGGAGAATTGTAACCAGGGATTGACATTGCTATGTAATATTACAGTAAAATCTAATAAATACATGTACTACGTCTGAACAAACGCGCTAATGAATGGAAGAAAAGTCAATTGCAACCATGGATTGTAGGAGACAGCATATACATCTAATAAATACATGTACTACGTCTGAACTAACGCACTAATGGATGGAAGAAAAGTCAATTGTAACCATGGATTGTAGGAGACAGCATATACATCTGATTTTTATTTTTATTTTTATTTTTCCAGTCAATGGTGTGTTTGGTAACGTTTACGTTTTCAGTTTATATTTATAAAAATTTTATAAACTGGTTTTTGTTTATTTTTTATTTACTTTTAGAAAAACATAAACTGCAAACACGTTTGGTAATTAACAAAATGTTTAAAAAATTTAAAAATATAAAAAGAGTGAGAAATAGCAAGTGGTGGCAAGTGGCGGCGGAAGACGGTGGTGGAAAGTGATGACGGTGGGTGGTGGGTAGTTGGTGGTGGTGGCGGGTGGGTGGTGGTGGTGGTGGTGGT